CGAGGCAGAAAATTTGACTCGAGGCTTTTTTGCACTCAAATTATTCGAGGTACTCGAGGAATCGTTTCAGCCCTAGTTTAAACACACCATGTCCGCAGTGTGGAAATATCTTACAATCAAAACGCTGAAAAGCAAGACAGCAACGTGCAATGTTTGCAAAGCAGTGATTCCGAGAGGTGGAACCTCCATCGCAACTTTCAACACGACTAATTTGATCAAACATTTGAAAAAACTCAACCCAAGAAAGCACAAGGACTTTTTAAATAGGGGAGAGAAAAAAGAAAAAAAGATTGATTTGTCTAATGGAGTTGGAGGTTTTTGAGAAATAAAAGCTGTTAGGTGGTTTTGTTCATCATCTTCTATTCTCTTTTCTAATTGGGAAGAAGATGCTAAAACACAAGTTTAGCTAATATCACATTTTAGTCCCAACATAGAACTTCTTGAATATTCTAAATGCAGGACTTCTCACTGGGAGTAAGTTCATCTCCAAAAGCTTGATTTTAACCTCACCTTCAGCAGTGGAATTATGGTCTGGATAGCTTCTCCCAGGGAAACTAGAATTAAAAATACACCCACACTTAAACCTCAATGGATATGTGCTCCGGCTGGGACTAAAACAAGTTATCCAGTTTTCAACAATATAGCACTCACTGACTCACTCACTCCATCTGTAAGAAAGCATATTATCAGTGGCTCTGACTCACAGTACTGCTCTGAACAGCAATGTATTTTCAATATTTACATCTTTACTATTTGATTGTCCAGGTTAAACTGAAGGAAGACTGGCAGATATGGCATGTGTATCTCCAGAAGAAATGGCATTTGGGTTTGTAACAAGTAACTGGTCTAAAGCATAATTTATTTTGACATGTTAAGATTTTGTGGTCAAACAAAATCGACAGTCTACCTTTTTCTTAGAAAAGTGCTGAAGCTAACTGAAAATGGTAAGCCAAAATACTATAGCAGACCTCAGCTTCAGTCTCCATTTGTGGTTTTGAAATGTTATGTTCAGGGAACAAAACCACTAAGCTCCTTCAGAACAGAATGCAAGAGTTGTGCCATTAAGCTTTAAAAATCTACTTTAACACTTTGAGTGAGGTGTGAGGGAGCTGTGCAAAGAAGAGAAAGCACCAGGGGGCCTTCTTTATATCCTGCACATGTACTTACAATACCCCTCTGTAATGAGAACTGATTAACTGTTAAGTCTGTGTTACTATATGACCCTAGAAACCAGATAATTCTCACCAAATAGGAACCAAGCTCCTTACACTGTTACAGCAACTGAATGCTCAGAGGGAATACACTGAGAAGAGGGAAAGTGTGTGTATGCATGCGTGTATTACACACACACACACACACACACACACACACACACACACACACACACACACACACACACACACACACACACACACACACACACACACACACACACTTGCTTTAGAAGCCTCTAATCAAATCAATCAGGTTTTTATGATGATGCTTTCATCTAAGTAGATTCATCAAAGGTCAACTATTTCTGCTGGTAAATGCAGTAAAAAGTCTTAAATGCTGCAGCAAGATTTATCACTAATACAAACAGACGTTCACATATACCCCATTTTAGCTTACTTACAAAAGCTCCCAGTTTTATAACAAATACGGTAAAAACCATCCTTTTTGTTTTTAAATCCATTCATAAATTGTCACCCTCATAGGGCTGGGCGATATGACGATTTTAGACCGTTTTACGATCTACACATCCGACGGTCTGTCATTTTTGAGAGACCGTTTTATCACGATTCACAGCTCTGCTGTTGAATTTCTGCCTCTGAATGAAAAGGGAACTTACCTCAGGCGAATGACACGCCTTTGTTTGACCCTTAACCAATCAGAGTGAGTCATAGTAATATATTAGTGCCCCGCTTGTTTTCCCCTGTGTGTGAACAACATGGCTTCGCCGCGGCTGAGCGACAACGAGGTTTTCGTTCCGAAGAGGAACGCAGGGTTTCCTTAGCGTGCAGCGCTAACAACTTAGTGACGTGACATGTCTCGGAGAAAGCGTAAAAACACGTTGGACGCTTCTTCTGAAGCAGGAAAATAACACCGCTTCTTAAGCAGAGCACGACGTCGCCTCGGCTCGTTCACCCTCTGCCGAGCCGGTGTCGGTACCGGACTGAGCTCGGTCACTGGGTCGCTGGAGCTGCCCCGTGACTGCCTGATGGAAAACCAGCGGGTTTCATCAGACTCGTAGTTTCTTGTTTTTGCTGTATTTTACCGCTCCCTCCTGCAGTCTTCCCCTATTACAATTTAAAATGATTCTGTAAATTTGTGTATCAATAGAAACAATCTCTGCCTCTGCCAGCTGCAGTAAATGTAGTTTCCAAATAATAAGAGGTGCATTCATCTGTGTATCTCCTTTGATCCGCATTAGTGATATTTTCAGCACCAGAACAGTGAAGCAAAGAAAGATTCCTGAGTTTGTTAGTAATTTTATTTATTAGGTGCATCTAACCTGTTCTATTTTTCTCTGAAATGAGATCAAATCAGTGCTTCTATGGGTTGTCTCCAATCTGCACTGGAAAATTTTACTTTATTTAGAGACTTGTTGCAGAAAATATTCAGAATGTGCAGTTATTTGCTACCACAAGCGATCTCTGGTCCAGCCGCACATCAGAGCCGTATTTGAGCTTAACTATCCACTACATGAGCAACTGGGAGCTACATAGTATTTTGAACAAGTTAATGTTTGCACAATACGTTTGCAATTGACATGTTTGCACTTTAAATACGTTTACGATTTTAATTTATGTTAAGTTACTTGAAAAACGAGAAAAACTGATTTTTGTAATTGTTTCTCTCAGGGCTTTTATCATCTCTGGTGTGAGTTTAAAATATAAGTGTGTTAGCACTGTGTTGATTATCCCTAATATGAATAAATGTTTATTTATTCAATGTTTCTCTTCTTTAATACACAATTGAAGTTATGCTATTCATGGATAAAAAAATCGTGATAAAATCGAAATCGTGATAAAATATTGGAAAGATCGTGATATTCTATTTTTGCCATATCGCCCAGCCCTACCCTCATATTTGACAGAGCTTATCAGCCCCTAAAACCGTACATCCAGATCTGTGGACCACCTGCTCTTGAATATCCCAAAAGCACACTACAAGGTCCGTGGTGAAGTCATTTCCCATTTTAGTGACAGTCCACTTTGCTTATAATTTTCAAGTTGCTTCTGAAGACATACTCTTTTAATTTGGTATTGGATGGAATTCTGGGGTTGAGTTTATTTGTTATACTTGTGGTTATTACAGGTTTTTTTTTTGTATTTCATGAATATTGTCTTTTATGTGTATTAATTGCCTTTTTTCTTATATTTGTTTGAATTCTATGGATTTGTCTCTTATGTACATTGATTGGTTTGTCCAGCACTTACGTCAGCTAGCATGCTATTTTATAATTGCTTTAAAAATAAACTTGACTTACTTATGTTTTACTCTCACAGAAAAAAAACATACAAAATTAAGAAATGTCAGGAAAAAAAACAAGTATTACAGGATGAATGATGGAATGAATAAATGAGAAAAAAATCTGCCTAACTGTTTCAAAGCAGTAAAAACTACATAAGTGTAAGTTACAGGCTGGTTTAAGTTCAGTGATGCATTCTTTCACAAAATGAAAGATGTACATAGCCTAGTGAACTATACAAAGTCTTGCTTTGCAAAGTTTGGTCAAGGAAAGCTCCATTGGAACCTCTGCAGACCCTAGCAGCAGTCTGGCTGGCCAATCACAGCTCTCTATAGAGGTTTTAAACCAGCAAAGGGTTGACATTTGGTCCACAGTGGGCAGCCAATCAGTGCCCTATCCACTTTGTGGGCAAATCACAGCACTTTTTCGGCTTTGTGGGCCAATCAGGGCCCTCTATTCATCTGGTGAGTGAGATGACGCGACAGAGTGGAACAAGATGGCGACAGCCTTATTAGAATCCTTACAGAATCAGGAGCAGATGGGTGTATTTAAGTTCTTTATTTAGAAAAAGGATGTATTTTTGCCTTCTTCAACAGCGGACTGCCTTGTTTACCTACATCCGTTGTACATCATGTACTCCACCAGCTCCACAACAAGAACTGTCAATGGAGCGTTGCCAGACTAAATGGTGTGTTTATTTAAAATTGGTGGGTTAAAGTACCTTAACTGGTTGTTAAAACATGAAATAGACCATCATACAAATTCTGCAGCCTTGCTTGATCTTGCTAAATTACGTGGCTGTTTCTCCAAGGTTCAGGTAAATTATTGAGTGTGTATTTTTTGGTGTGGACAGTTTTCAAAGCACTTTAGATTTTAAAGTGTTATATGACGATCTTTTGTAGATTGATAAGTATTGTCAATTCTTGATTTGTATTTTCACACAATGTATCTAATGAAGTAAAATTGCATTTTTTAATTAAATAACTTGGTAAATGGCCTGTATTTTTATAGCTCCTATGTAGGGTTCTACAACCCCCCAAAGTACTTCACAATCACACAGTCATTCACCCATTCACACACACTGGTGAGGGATGAGTTACAATGTAGCCACAGCTGCCCTGGGGCATACGGATAGAGGCGAGGCCCGCCCAATACTGGCGCCACCGGTCCATGTGACCACCACCAGCAGGCAAGGTGGGTTAAGTGTCTTGCCCAAGGACACAGCAGCAAAATTCTCTGGACAAAGCCAGAATTGAATCTGCAACGTTCCGATTACTGGACAACCCGCTCTACCTCCCGATATACTGCTGTCCCTACTGCTGAACTTACTTTGCATGAAACCTTCTCTGTGTGTGAGATACTGCACTAAAGAAATCAAAGTTACAAAGTCAAAGTATTTGGAGAGTAGAACCCAATGGAAAAAAATAAAAATAAATACATCAGCAAATTTCACAGTCTGAAAAAACATGAATTAGCAAAAGGGTAGAAATAGACTCACCAACTCCACAAGCAGATTACTTAATATTAATACTAAAAGAGAAGTTACCTTCATAATGAATTCTCCAAAACTTTGTCTATGTATGAAGGCCACATATCAAAGTCTACTCCCTCCTCTGGATGCAGTTTGCTCTCAGTGATAAATACCCTTACAGGGTGATGATGGTCCAATTCAAACAGAGGGCTGTTCCGAAGGAGCTGTTGTGAACAGGCAAAGAGTCATTGTTCTACCAGCATCCCTCCTGCTGCACAAGACACAAAGTGTACTATACCATGGCCTGGTACTGGCCTACATGAGACTGTGTCCCTTGACAATGGGGAAGAACAACGAGGGAGGGGACTCATCTAAACTTCACATTACGACTTACTTCCTCGATAAGCTAGACACACAAAGTGTGCTCTTTTTTGAACAATGTATGGTCAACCTGCAATCTCTGAAATGTCAAATGACTAGACCTAGAGGTATGTTGCTACCAAGAAAAAGGAGGCCCATAAAATGTCCTCAATCTGCCAAACTGGCCGTTTACATCCATCTGTATGAAATAAAATAACTACTGCAAGAGTGATGAATGCCATAGATCAGGGGCCTCCAACACGTCGCTCCATGCACTTGAAAGTAGGGCTGCTCAATTAATCGAATTTTAATCCCAATAACGATCTGAGTTTTGAACGATTATAAAAACAAAACAAGCCGATTATTTGCTCCTCCCACTTGCGCTGCCCTGAGTTGCAAATGAAGCGCTCCTCCCACAGTGTTGCCAACTTAGCGACTTTGGCGCTATTTCTAACAGCTTTTCAGACCCCCTTCTTGACTTTTTTAATCCTAAAAGTACCTGGAGAACATCTCAGAAACATCTCTGGTAACCCTTAGTTACTTTCTGGATAACTGTCGTTGACATTTCCTGCAGGTTAGCTAAACACTCCGCCTGTGCTCCCGACTGTTCTTCAGGACATTAGGAGAGGGAATGATGTAGTGATGTGTCGGTGGCTACAGAAACGGTTCTCAGAGCCGGCTTCCTGTTGGACTAACCAGAGTGAGTGACACACACCGTACCTGCGGGCTCCTGAGCCGATAAAAACAGCTAAATGTGCACGTGCGGCGCACTAAACACACGTGCAGCTTGCCCGATTGCTGCGAGACCGGGTTGGGGGGTGGGGGGTGCAGCTGTGGTTGGGACAATTATTATATTAACTGATGGACCTGTAAATAAATAGTTTATAAATAAAATAGAAACAGATAGAAATAAGTTCCTCACGCTGATAAATAATAACTAATCTCTCTGAGGACACGGTGCTAGTACACGCTCCTACAGCACCTTGACATGACTAAATGCATATTATGCAAAATTTTGTGAAAATCAATTTATTTTAGGGGTGCTCCGATTGATCGGCCACAGATAATTATCGGCCGATTTTCCTGCAAAAGTGTGTGATCTGTGATCGCCGATCACTGCCTTTCATTTCCGATCTGGCACTGGCGCTTACTCTTCCCGGCCGGTAGTCCACCCTTCCACTTCTCCCCGCTTAGTGCGCATGCGCGTGGCGGCAAACCCGCAAAGACAAACATGTCTGCCGTGTGGAACTTCTTTACGGTGTGCGAGAGTGATATTAAGTTTGCGTCTTGCAACACTTGCAACGAAAACATACCCCGCGGAGGAAGCACTTCAAAAAAATTCAACACAACGAATTTGATCCGACATTTAAAGACTAAACACTTGGCGGAGCATGGTGAGTTTTTGAGGCTCACCGCAGACAATGAAAAGAAGCCAGCTAATGCTAATGCAGCCACAGTCAGACGGCAGCTAACGCAGCCGACGCTTGGAAACACTCGCCCATATAAGCGCGACAGTCAAAAGGCTAAGCAAATTACCCGTAAAATCATCGAGTTTATTGGACTAGACGACAAGCCTTTTTCAGTTGTGGAAGACGCCGGATTCCGCCAACTACTAACCCACTTGGAACCTCGCTACATGCTACCGGGACGTTAATATTTCGCCAACGTAGCCCTTCCAGAGCTCCACCAGACAGTGTAATCTTTCATCGAGGGACTCCTTAAAGAAAGCGTCTCATCCTCTGTGAGTTTCACAAGTGACATTTGGAGCTCAGATGTCAGTCCCGTGTCAATGCTGAGCTTAAAGCTCACTGGATGTATCTGAATGTATCCTTGGTTACTTAATTTGATTTAGGCGGTGATGTGAGATAATGACTTTTTTTGCACTATTTGTAGCCTAAAGAGAGCCTTAATGTTTTCAATTTCTTATAAATTGTTACTGATATTACATAATTTGAAGTGAAGTGAAACCATGTTTTTTCTGAATTAATATGTAACACATGCATTAGAACTCACCATAGATAAATGAATAATTTACAGCCAATCTATGTAATTGGTATCGGTAATCGGCTGATCGGCCATGATCGACCTCTTGGCTGATCGGTATCGGTGATCGGCAGATTAAAACCTGATCGGAGCATCCCTAATTTATTTGCATTTTTTGTTATAAATGCCACTGTATTATTCTTGCTGTCAGTATTTGCAGGATATTGGTATTTGGGTCTGTACTGGTTAGACTTAAATGAGTTAAACCAAGGTCTATAGCCCTAGGGTCATAAACTATGAGCTAAAAGTATATAGGTCTTTTTATACTGGGAATCAGGAGTTATTTTAGTGATCATCTTGTTTCTTATTCATTTTCGTCCTGATTGCGCCCTGAGCAATTTTATGACAGAATAAAAACAAATAAAAAACATTAATTGAAAAATCGTCTAGAATAATCGAGATCTCAATTTCAGTCACAATAATCGTGATTATTATTTTTGCCATAATCGAGCAGCCCTACTTGAAAGTCACTCGCTTGGAAGCAGCCAGTGAGCCACCCTGCCTGACTTGTAATTAACGAGGGACAGATTTTAAATTTGATGGCAAACCATCCCTGTTTTTTGCAAAATATAATCTAGAATTAGCTTTTTGTGGAAGTAAAATAAGAATCTAATGATTGCACTAAATACATGTTACACCAGAAATATGTGAATGAATTGCTCAGGTTGCAATACAGTACAGATCTCCGTTTCAGATCTCAGCGGCTGCAGCTGCAGGTGGTTGAAGACGCACTTATAAAAAAGACGAGGTGACGTCAGTTATACAGACCTGGTTTCAGAAAAACATCCTCAGTAAAATATTCTGGGGGACAGTAAAGTCCTATTTGCGGTTATGCCTTGTTAACGCAAATTAAATGCCATTTAAATGCCGTTTGTTTATGAACACATGATAAACAAGCTTCAAACATCTCTTGTGATTTAGTTACAATAAATTTCCCTTCACAGTTTCAACTGATTGTCCCATTTAGTAATAAAACATGATTGTGAATGCTCTCTTTCTGCTCTGCGTTGCGCACAGCTGTGAGACCCGCGGGTCAGCTGATCCAGAGGCAGAGGAAAAAGGATAAACCTCCAGCCTTACTTTAATATTGTCAACAAAAAAACACAGCAAAGCATCATTTTACCTTCAGTTATTGAAGCAAAACTTTCATGAGCAAAAAAAAAAAACCATGAAAATGATCCAATAAATCAGGAAAGCAGGAAGAAATTTTTCTGTTTTAAAATTTTAATTTCAGACTATTTAGAAATTTGTGTTTTCATCACATTTAGCTTGTATTTTATTTAAAATATCTTCATTTTTGAGAATTGTGTTGCATGTTTGGAAAAATAATCATTACATAATTACTTGAAAGGTTTGTATTAAATGCCATTTAAATATCATATTTATTTTTAAAAGGCATTTTATATTTTTAGGAAGTATTTGTTCATTTATGACAAAATATCTTAACACTACGAAAAACTGACATTGCTACTTAGGCTCTGGGCTGGGCACAGGGTCAGGGACTGAACAGAAACAGGTTAGCTGTTCCTGTGTGCGCAAAAAGTTATGTTACCGATCCATTCTAAAAAATGACAAATCATTCACATAAAGTAGATTTGTTATTCATTATCTGAAAGTATCTGATTAGTTAATAAACAAAATACACTTAGCTTGATTTTCAGAATGTCACCATTTTCCATGTACTTTTTTTAAATAATATTGATGCAAAGAAATACAGAGAAATAAACTAGTAAATACATTGCATCTTTATATAGTAAGCATAACATTTTTAAAACATAGTAAGCATATACACAAATGGAAAGTATCAATGTGAATAAATGTAAAACTAGCTCATGGGCCAAAAAAGGTTGGAGACCCCTGCCACAGATTGTGTGCATCAGCTATTGTTTGACAAGATTGTGAAATATGATACTGAAGCCAATGAGTGAGAATAAAAAGGAAATGTGTAAGCAAGTCATGCAATGCTTCTAAAGCTTTAAGTCATATAATGCTGACAAAGGTCTGTGGTCAGTGATGTATTTTGAGTCATGCTGCTGCACATGAGAAAACATCAAACAAGACAAAAGTAGCCTCTTAAGGGTGGTTACATTTTAAATGGATTATAGCCTTAAAATATTATTTTACCAAAGCTTTTGTTTACAGATTGCATGAAAGTCCCTTAAGCACTATGAACTTTGTCCCCATGCCTAAACTTGTTCGTCTATTAAAATCTGAAGTGGATGGCTAAAGTGAATAATTCTGTTTTTGTTTTAAAGGTCACACATCATGCAAAATCCCCTTTTGGAGATTTTGACCATGTTATATTGTTATTCAGTCATGAAAAGCACTCCCAAAAGTGTGTTTTGGCTTCACACATGCCCTTGTCGTGTCTCAGCCACAAACCATCTGTTGTCTGCGCAGCAGCTGCAAAAGCCTGGGGTTTGGGTTGGAGTTGTTTTTGCACCATTATGACCCGCTCCTCCCCATCCAGGTAATCTAAAATCCAGACCCCACCTCCCCTGGGCTGTAAACACTAACACTCAGTCTCTCTCAGTAGCTAGCAGGGAGTTTAATCACCACAGTGGAAAAAGTGATTATTTTTTTCTTATCTGGTCTCAGTGGGACATGTCAGCTTGAACTTGCGGCCAACAGGTCTGCTGCTGTATACTCTTGTGGAATTCACACGAGAGGAGGTGGGTTTGATCAAATCACAGCATCTGGCTCACAAAAATAATGTATATTTCAGAAAAATAAATATACCTAAATAGTGCCTATATTAATATTTTACGATGTAGCGTACCTACCATTGCTCTGGAAGGTGTAAAATAGGATGATACAGCCCCTTGAAGGTCATAAAAATGAGCACATTTCAAGCTGCAGCCTAGTCACACTTTTATCTATAATTAAGGAGAATCTTAAGTGGTGTCGCATTAAACGGAGTGTAGTTTTTCCAGCCAAGTGCACACAGTCTTCGTACTCTATTTGTATGGTTGTAGAACAGAATCAGCCACTTAGATTTTCCAGCAGCTTAGCTTGTGTAACGTATGGGTTGTAACTTAACTAAACTGCACACTACAATAGTTTTCTTGTCCCACCGTTGCTGGCTGACAGCCATGCAATACCAACAAAAAGCCAATTACAGTACATCTCAATGCTGACGAGCTTTAAAAATCCCCATCTCAGCTACAGTCCTACTGACAACATTATCTTTAATAATGTACCAGACTACACTAGCTGTAATTGGTATTCAATTAATTATCCTTGAACATCACATCAGAAAGCAACAAGACTAATGACAAAAATCAATGTGGCTTTTTCCCTTCCTCTGCTAAAAGGGCCACAGTTGATTTTCCTCTACCAGCACTTCCTCCTACTGAACTGTGACAACATTAAAAAAACAAAAAATTTCCATTTACAACTGAGCTACACTGCAGCTCAGCTGGGGGTTCACCACGGAGATGAACACTGTAGGATGAAGCTTACACTGGGTGGTTTTGTACCAGAAGGACACGTGAGTTTCTCCTCTATAACTCATTAAATCTTCACATGCTGTTCCTCTTTCTCAATATTAGAGACTACCCTATTGTTTTAGATGACTATATGTAGAACTAGAAGAATAAAACAACACAGACGCTGACTTATATCTCCCCTTCAATAAGCTCAGACAGAGAGTAAGACACAGGCCCCCTTCTAAAAAAGAAAACGCACACAGCCAAAACAGACACATTTCAAAATTCTCTTCACATCTCACTGCGAATATTCTCTGAGCAATGGTAAGGCTGCAGCATGGCTCAGAAAATCTCTGGATGAGTCTGTATATACACTGGTGATGAGAATGCAAACTGAGTGCCACTGCCCTGGTGAGAATACATGGCTTAGGAAAAGGATGAGAAATGTGAGGAGAATTCAAAATAAATGAAGATACCTGAATTATTTAGTGATACAAACTGAGAATTCAACCTGGTTTCTAGCAGGAAGTAGAAATTGCCACAAAAGCCACCCGCAGTAACCGCCCACTCCCAAGCTGCCCAACAATATACCAAAAAAGTCTGTCTGTTAGGCAGTGAAATCTATGGAAAGGTGCAAAGAGGCTACAGGTTCATCAGCCCAACCCCCACTCCATGAGTCATGAAGGACTTCCCAATTTGCCCCACTATATTTAAATGGTTTTTGCTTTACACATCACCTTCCTCCCACACTAAATATATTTATTATTACACTGTGTGTTGCAGATAAGCCCCTTTGGCTGTGTTTCCATTATTGGGCAGAAAGCAAAAAGCCAAAACAAGGACAGGAAAAATGAGAAAGAAATCAGAGTAAGCTTTTTTCTACACAAATTTCACAGCACCAAGATGGCAAAACAGCACAACTAAAATTAATACACATATTTTCTGATCAAACAAGCCTGATAAATCAAATGGCTCTATATTCCCTGAACAGTTTGTGGTTCTCAATTTAACTCAAACTACTTGACCAGAAGTGGTACCACTTTCCTATGGATTTAGTCACAAGACTCCATTCTGGAAAACAATCTTGCTACAATGTTAAAGAAAAAAAAAACATCTGCTAGAACATGAATGGTGTTTGCGGGTTCTTGGTGAAATCTTTGGGTGCTAATTGGGAAAGCAATTGACCTGACATCATATAATGTCCATGTGTGATAGGTAGGGATGGGCATCGAGCATCAATTGGAACCGGGACTACTGTCATATTTTCCTGGAATCCTTCAAAGTATTTTATTTTCGTTCCTAATTTCGACTACTTGTATGCCAACCGGAAGAGGAATCTGCGGCCGATCTCCGTGAAAAATATGTGATCTGTAAATTCTGATCAACGCCTTTCAGAGATGAACACACCAACTGCCTGTCAGTCCTACTCTGCAGCCCACAGACACCCCGAGAGCACCATTGCGTCACCACTCCCTTCCCTCACACTGCGCGCAGCGGCAAACACATCTGCCGAACTTTTAGTCTGTGATGAAACTTTAATTCCTGCAGCCAATTAATACAGCACGGAGGCAGCTTGTTGAAATATGTCAGCACCGTGGATTTCATAGAAGTTTTAAAGAACAAACTCTGGGCGGTGTGAGTTGAGTTTGGCTCGGCCAGAAGGCTGAGCAATAACCTGTAAAATAAATAGTCATCATGCTAGATCAGCCTCTCTCTTTGGTGGACGACTGACACCGGGTTCTGCCCACTAGGAGCTGATAGGGATTATAAATATAATAATATTCCCACAACACGCGATGTTGTGAGATTATTGTTTCCCTTTTTTTACTATTTGATCTGTTGAGAGATTTAATGTTTTTGATCTGTTAAATTGTTACCGACAGCCGCTACATTTAAGTTTCAGTCTCCCTTCTGACTAAATCGCTGCTGCAGCATGTAGGTGTAGACTCTCAGTCATCCTGGACATGATCATCCTGATAGTTTTACGTGAAAGCAGCTGGACTTCTCTGGTTATGTTGAAGACATTTTGGCTCTCTTACCTTCCCCTCACCCTCAACCTAACCTTAACCAGCTTGCGCATGCAAAGCTCTGATTGTTGACGCGCTCCAGACATCTGCGTCCTGAGCACGGCCACAGTAACATTATCAAATCAGGTGCCGTCACCTCAAAAACTAATTTAACACGCGATCATTCATGTCGGCTCATTTCCTTTTATGTTTTCTGTCTTTTATTCTTTCATTTGTGCCTGATGCGTTTCGCTGCTGTGGATCGGGGCGCATCACCTGTTTTATCCTCGGTGACGCACCTAACTGATGAGGCCGGCTAGCAGCACACACTCCGCTGTTTTTGCGGTCGGTAGATCTTTTAGAACTGCAGTTCAAAGGTAACTCATGAGGTGAATATATATGAAGCCAGGTAGCAGTTTTTCTTTAGGATTGAGAGGAGATGCAGGAAGATAATAAACAGACAGGACAGAAAAATAGTCAAATAAAAACAAGTTAGTTTTTGTACCTGGTGGTTGCAACAAACAGACACCATTGAAGGTAATCAGAAGTGAGGAACAGAAAATGAAATAATTATTTTAATGTTTAGAGCAGCAGGAACTCTGAGAGGCTGCAGGCGCATCAGTGAGTTTGCAGCCGCTGCGCAGGGGGAGGGGGGAGAGGGCTGAAGCAGAAACTACCGTTGTTAAAAGAAATGTGTTTAACTTTGAAAATGT